ACTGAATTCCATTTTGCCTGTTCGCCGAGCTTGGCAATTTGTTTGCAAACGTTTCATCACCAGCCGAGGTGACATCATCAGTGCTTGTGAAGTGGCCACTTCACAAGCACTGATGATGTCACCTCGGCTGGTGATGAAACGTTTGCAAACAAATTGCCAAGCTCGGCGAACAGGCAAAATGGAATTCAGTTCACCCGAGCTACGAAAACCGATTTTCAATATTTTGTCAACATGTTTGCCCTTCATTGGCTACATGAGTTGAAATGATCCCATCCTAGCTTTCTTGACAGCTGTCATCGTTCAAGCCCGATCGTGCTTTTGGAAACATTCTCCAAAGCTGTACAGATTCCAAACCAACCATTACTGATGTTCGGTGGGCGTAAATAGATTCCAACCAGTAGTCGCATGTTGATGAACACGTGTGCCGATCATATTCCCAAACACTATGGGAGATGAGCACATTGGCATGGTTTCACACTATACGGGAGCGTTACACTGCACTTTACAAAGATGCATTTGCATTTTATCGTGTTAGCGATCAGATAACTGAGCTTATCTACGAACCGCTTCCATTTTTATCTAACACAGATTACCCCTTCAACAACCAACCTAGTCGAATCGTTTCTCGGTCTGTTTAATTCCTGACAGTCCATGATACCGTTACTGACGTTGACACTATAGTGGCCGTAGACTATATAGTCCGAATAAGTCAGGACGCAACATCTTCCGACCCTCAGAAACCAAAAAGCACATAGGTCAAACGAGGAAAAGATCTATTGTTTGAAAGCAGATTGTGTTCATTTTATTTTAAGCTCAGTGCATCGGTTGTAAGGAAGGCGGCATATAGTGAAAATCAGATGTAATCAGCGTGAAATAAGATTTGGCATCCTTCAGCAAGGACGGTTTTGATTTGTCCTGGTTAGTTGATTATGTAAAAATCTAGATTGTCAAAAGTTTATCTGTTTAAAAGAAAAGAAATTGTGCGCATTCAATAGAGTTTATCACACGTGTGCATTCGATAATGTTGTGTAGAAACTGGCTTTTTTAAACTGAATTTTAAAATAAATTCACCAATGGTCCACAACAACGCAAGAAAAAGATTGCAAGATTCTAGCATGCAACATAAAACACCGTGTTCGGGGGCTTTAAATGATACTCCCTTAGTGAGAGGAGAAACATCGCCTGATCACTGTAATGTTAGGGAGTGGAATGTATCAACACGGTGATCAGAGCAGTCGACCGGGAGGTGCTGTGAGTGCGAAAGCAGTAGCAAATGACCCATAACGCAATACCAAATTTCGAACATAATTAGCACTGATTGATTGCTCTCTTGATATTAACAAATCAATTGTACTTCTATTTTACATGCGTTCGAATTCAGACTGTAAGCCAAACAAATCATAATACAATTATCTTTATAATGCAAGAGAAAGTCCCATAATTTCTTTGTCGGAATTATACTGCCAGGTTACACAAGCCAATGCAGGCGATTTGGGAATCAGCCTTTAAGATACTTCCAGAAATCTCTTTGGATTCAGGCGATGGATACTATATATACTGAAGAAGAAACAATAAAACGTGTGTAAATCCAAAACATGAGTTTAATTTGTACTCCTATTGTCATCTAAATGGTTTTTCAACACATTATCTGATGTGTTCAAAGTACCCTTTCATTCTCACCTTTTGTTTCGGACAGTTGTACTTTTTCCAAGAATTCTAATCCTTCATCTTCGCGTGACTGTTTGGATTTCCGTTCCCGAAGCAACATGAGAGCCTCTTCCAATTCATCTGAGGTGAATCCAGCTGCCTACGTTGAATGAAATTTAACAGCAAAGAGAACAGCGCACATTCTAATTGTCTTCATATGCAAAAAAGAACATGTTCTAATTTGGTGAAAAAAGTGAAATGCGACTAAATTAGGTTAACAGTGGTATTGAAATGGAAACAGTCCGTAGAATATTAGAGTAGAATGCGGTTGAGTTTGAACGAGTTCAGCCAAGTATTCTGACATAATCTTAAAAAATCTACAGATTACGTGGTATGGACCGAGAATCATGGCACCAACTATTTCCGGGTGTAAAAGGAGAACACAGGCTTAATGGGCACAGGACAGTCCAGTATATCAATCAATGAAAAAGTATGTCAAGGAATAATAAAAAATACTCGATCATTTTTTCAGCTTTCGGTGCGTTTAGAATCGTATGTCAGTGTTAAGGAATGGGAAGGGTCAGATCGGCCGGTTGAACGCACGCACACTGTATGACTACTTATTTGAGTCTGGAAGCCCATCCAATTAACATGATTTGGTTCTTGAGGTTTTCTCACAAATTTAGGAACTTTTTGACCGGTTTTCTTGCTAGCATATGACCTTGACAATACGACTTTAAGCTATCAAATCATGTTCCTTATGTACTCAAAAATACAAAACTATGCCTGTTCCTGATAGTATTGTTTTTGTGAATTTTCTGTTCTCATTTCCTCCATTTACACTGCAGTCTCTCGTTTTCGTACAACTTAAGGAGTAGTTTTTGCTGTGTTAATTAACAGAGAAATAGGAAGCAACACATCGAAATAGCTTGAAATAAAACAGGATTCTGTGTTTAGGTTCTGTCTGAACCGCTTTGAAAAATGAAAACGTTTAACGTTTTAAGTTTCATTTGATTAATAGTGGATTTGACTCCATTTAAAAGAGAAAATCTGTCGTATATAGAGTAAATGCAGAGTGAACTGAAAATCTAGGAAGCACTGAACAGCTGTTTCGATCTAGTTGAGTCTCATCAGCCATGCGAATTTATCGACCCAACTGTTTTTAACTTTCACTTGAATAGCTTCCTAAAAATGTGCTTCACTATAACAATTCAGCTGCACGACAGAGACGCAAAATCCATGGCATTTAATTTGATTCAAGATTTGGTACGTCTTCGATTTCCAGATACATAGGCGATAAACACTATTCGGTATCATCAAACGCTTGTATAATTGATATTACAGAAAACTAAAATTTTTATAAGTTGAAAAGCTTTTGTTACACACTCATCATCTATCACACTTACAACACGATTGCGACGATTGCCTGCTTAGGAACACAATTCACAAACATTTTACAGCGGCTGAGGAAAACATTTCCGGATGCACAAAAAGTTTTGAATTCCAGAATATGCCCATTTTAACATGAGAACACGAATTCAGAGGCGAAGAATTGTTTTCATTGATTTATCTTCTGGTCTGTGCAGATCAAATAGAAAAATGACATTTTGAACGGGGATAGTCACTCAGTCATTCAAAGTCACGGTGATTGATTGAAAGGGAGAGGAATTGGGGCCGGGGGGGGTGCGACGCGTTTCACGCCCCTAGATGATCACCACAACAGTGCAATCACACTGTGATGCGTCATCCGTGCGATCGATCTTCGACCACGGTAGCTGAATAGCGTGCGCATAGACTGGGTTCGAATAAACGAATGCCGATCGTTTCCGTAGCGGCTAGGGTGTGGAGACGCAGTGACTTGGATGGGTGAGGTGATACTCGATAGATGACTTTGAAGGCTGATTCAGGCTTAATTTGGTGACCGGAATCTGCTAGTTGAGAATAGCGCTTCCTGTGACACCTTTTCCATCGTGTTGAAGCCGGCGTGGACAGTGCTCTTGAATCCGCTGAGACAGATTCCTCGCCGTTTGGTGCGTCATTATCAAAGGCTGCTGCTGCTTTATTTCCGCTGGCGCTTTCGTCAATCGGGAGCGCAGCCGGATAATGTAAACAAGGCTGATACAAACGTAAGTACACGCCTTGCAAATTATTGCATCTGAAACAACAATGGAATGGCCAACGAGAAACTATTCGATTCGTTTTAGAAGTCATGAGCTGAACATTATGATGTTTGAGTTCTCACGGGAACATGAGGCACATTTTGACAGTGTGGTTTCATTAAAGTAGACATTTTATTTTAGATTGGATTCGATTTCACACTCATCAGCTCCCGTGTTTCATTTGTGAATCTCAAGGAGACGGGGTTTCGAACCATTACTAGACAGTTCACTATTTGAGTCCTGATAAAGAGACAAAAAGAGAGTACAAATTACTGTGAGGTTCCATTGGGTACGAAAAAGTCATCCTGTACTGATTCTGGATCATATCAAATGTGAAATTTATTGCTTGTGCAGTGATAGATTAATTATCAAAAAGTGAATATCGTAGAAAAATAGAAATATTCTCCAATCTGTGAATTCACATGGAATGTAAAACAAATTTGTGATTAATAGCTCATGATTGTTGTGCCCCAAGTCAAGTCAGGTCAAAATAGGCTCAGTGCACCGAATAAGATGAATCTCCAACATTTCAACGAGTTACAGTAGAAAAATAGGCATATTCAGAGAGAGAGAGAAATAATTGAAAAAAACGTTGCACGTAATAAACTAAAACCACCAACACCATAGGTGATTTTTCAATTTCATCATTACAAATATAATCGAAATTGAAACAACTGGTCCCTGTGAAACACTAGAGGGTTCGTATAGACAACAACATTTATAGTGAAGTAAATAATTCTTTTATGAATAATAATAAACAAGCCTTGATTAGTCTTTATGGCAATGATTTTCGTGATAAGTTTATACTTTACAGATAAATCCAATGTCAAAGTTTTATTATGGGTATTACTTACAAGCAGATGCTTTTCTTGTCCCACTGGATGTTAACACGAATTGAACTGTATTAATGATGAACAGAATTCCATAGGCTACATTCGGTTGTGTTTTGTGTTCTGATGGATGGTGGAATGCAATAGGTGTTAATGATTCGTCAAGTTTTACCTTGAAAGAATCAATCGTCTCGGCACATACAACATGGGATGGTAGAGAATTCCAAGCAGTATACACTTGGACGGCGAACGCATGACGTCGACAGTCTAGTCGAAATTTTCGGAGTACCAACTTGAATGGATGTCCCCGTAGATGAACGTTTGATGACAAAGTCAGAAGTCGGCGACAAGGGTGGTTTGGGCTGTGTAATATGTGGTACACTAACATCAAGTCAGTTAGAATCCGACAATACTGAGCAGAGCATAGACCCAGTGACTGCATTCTTCCCATGTTTGAATCACAATAGAGTCCTTTGACCATCTTCATGGCGAGCCTTTGTGGACGTTCCAAAATCTTATGATCACGTTGCAACCACGGATTCCAAGTTTGGATGGCATATTCAATATGCAGCCGGATGTATGCTGACAGCAGACGTGAGAATAACGATGGTTCAAAACGACCGAAAACACTTTTAAGTAGCCCGACATGTTTCAGTGCTGTTCCTGACGCCCTGGCACAGTTAACAGAACAGCTCAGGTCTTCGTGGACTATCACACCCAAGTTTTCCTCTGTTCATGCATGAGGCGGAAATTCGTTTCCGAGGAAATAAGGAAACCGCCCATGATGACGGTAAATTAGATGTCGTTCTCAATAGACCATTTGTGAGTTGCATTCAGTGTTTCTTGGAGTTCCAGCGAACCCCCCACTTTCTGTCACTGTCTTTCAGATTTTTACGTCGTCTGCAAACAATAAAATTTTTGGTCCTAAGACATTCGGTGGATCGTTTATGAACAAGAGAAAAAGTCGCAGACCAAGCACAGAACCCTGGGGGACTTCGCGAGAAACGGCGAGAGACTGGAACCGACGTGGTCCGTTGTTGAAAAAACGCAGCAATCCAATCAAGCGCGAGGTCTCTGACACCAAAATTGTACAGTTTATGGAGCAGTATTTCGTGGTTCACCCGATCGAACACTTTGGAGAAGTCCGCATAAACCACATCAACTGCATCTCCTTTATCTACTGCCTTTGTCCATTCATCGCGGACCAGGAGCAGATTGGTAGTACATGATCTCTTCTGACGGAATCCATGCTGTGCCGGGGAAAGGAGGTCGCATTTCTCCAAGTGTTTTATCAAGAAATCCGCTGCGATGGATTCCACGACTTTGGATAGAACGGGTAGGAGTGTCACTGAGTGGTAGTTGGCAGGATCACTACGACGGCCACCTTTGTAAATTAGAGAAATTATGCCTTCTTTCCACGACTGGGGAAGCACGGTTGCGTCAAACATCTTTTGGAACAGAAAATCTAGCGGTTCAGATAAGTGATCCGCTAACGCAATAAGCGGTTGGGGATGTAGATTGTCTGCACCTGGAGCCGAATACTTACGTAGACTCAGAAGCTTTGATTTCACTCTGTCGGCATCAAACGTGAAGGTAGTCAGTGTTTGATTTGGAAGAAAGAGTATCCGACGAGGCAGCCGCAGTCTCGCGTTGATAGGTGTGTCAAATACTTAAGCATATTGGTGTTTCTGCATCTCCACTGCTTCCTGGGTGTTACTGGCGATCTTCCCAAGATAGCTGAGTGCGGGTATCCAATATTTTACTTTCCTCGACATATTGACATGTTTGTATAGTAGTGATGGGTTGGAAAGGAAATTCCGTGAGAGCGCTTCTTGGTACCTCAGCTTATCCTCCCGCACCAACTGAATCCAATCGTTTTGCAATTGTCGATATTTATTCCAGGTTCTGTCACTTGGAAATCCATTGTATTCTCGCCAAGATCGATTGCGCAGAGACATCCATTTCTTAGAGCGGCTGCGAATCGGCCACTGGGTCACCTACGTCCCCAGGAAAGATCCACTGAGTGCAGTGAGTCAAATGCTGCAATCTAGTATGTTCCTTGGCGAGAAGTATATTGTTTTGCGGAGTTCTTCCTGTCGAAGCGTAGCAGACATACGTGAACAGCAATACTGTATGATCACTGCGTCCTAAGGGGGGGGGGCGAGACATCGATGGATTGGACCATAAGCTCTTCGTTGGTTAATACCAGATTTAGCATTGATGACGTCTCCAAGTTTTCAAACGTTGTGGGCTCCTCCACGTGGTCGTGCAGCGAATGCGAGTCGATTAACTGTTTAAACTGACTTTGGAACGATGGATAGGAAGTCAAAGTTAGGTTAAGGTGCGGGCAGTTGAAATCACCCACTATTAGAATATGACTAAATTTGGCAGATAGGAATTGTGACATAGCTTGCAAAAGTGTATCGTTTGCTGACTCCGTGAATGGTGGAGAACGATAGACCACTCCAACAAGACAACCGGCGTGCTTCGACAGTTTCAGTTTACACCAAATTGCGTCAGGGGCTGAAACAGGAGGATCAACTGCATCGCACTGGAGATCGCTTCGATTGTAAAGTGGAACACCACCCCCACGTGTTAGACGATCGCGTCTGAGAAGTGACATGCCCGGTAGGCCCAACTCAGAGCGGAGAATGTCATCCGTCAACCAATTTTCTGTGACAGCAATGATATCCCACTGACTGGATTGGAAACGTAACACCAGTTTGGAGTACTTCCTGCGGAAACCTGGGGCATTGGTGTAGCAACAGGTCAAATGTTTTTGGTCCCTTTTGGTCAAAGTCAAAGTCAAATTTTTATTATGGGCGTTTTAACAAAGCTAAAGCTTATCATGCCCCATAGGATTTTTACAGAATGTTTTGAATAACTTCACAAAGAGAAAATAACAATGATAATAATGTGTATTCACTCACGGATGTTGAAATTTTAAGTGTTTCAATGCTTTATCAAGTTGCGATTTAAATAGTTCAACTGTAGGAGCACACGCTACATCAGATGGAAGAGAATTCCATGCGCCGCACACTCTGACTGCAAACGAGTGATACCGGCGATCAAGGTGGCTGTTCTGGGTCTTTACCTTTAGTGGATTTCCCCTGAGGTGATCATTATGAGATAAAGTCAGCAGAGAACGGCAAGGGTGGTTGGGTTGATGCAGTATGTGATATGCCAATATTAGGTCCCCTCGAAGTCGGCGGTATTGGGATGAGTAGAGTCCCAATATGTGCAGTCTTTCTTTTGGTGAGAAGTAGCTTCATTGCCGACCCTGTCACGGTCGGGTAACATTGGAGTTTTGGGGAGGGAACCCATTTACTCCGATTCCCAAATTGTGGAAGGGAGCATGAAGCCGGAATCAATTGTGCATGAGCACCGTTATCACTCAGTGGAAATTCCGATGCTACAGTCTTCATCAAAGATCTCAGGCGCAGTTCTATTGGTCCTTTCTTCTTGTTTATTTTCCAAGATTGAAGTATTGTGGTCGTCATTTCTGGTGTGCTGAGGGTGACTTTCATTATCTTCGGGCCATTACCGCGGTAATTTGGTGAAAACGTACGATGCAATGGTTCATTTTATCGATAATGGTTGACCTAGATCATGATGAGTTAAGAGCTAACTAAACAGAATAAAACAATTTTCATTTGGAACAAATTAACATTGATAATAATTCAAATGTAACGTTTGTGTACACTAATAATCGATTGGTCTGCCTTTGTTCCTTAGGACTTTTTCGAGTCTCTTCGATATCGAATCCACCAACTTTGTTATGAAGTCATTTAGTATTTTGTGCGCCATTACGTTGCGTACTTTTGCCTCCAATGTTCAATGTACAGGTAGCACATTGACCTATCTCTTCAAAACAGAAAACAGATTTTCCATCACATTGAGACCCGGGCTATTAGAGGGAAGTTGCATGAACTGGACCTTAGAGTCACGTATCTTTTCTGAAGTCTAAAAGCAAATAATAAGTGAATCAGACTTTTTAACTAAATAAATTTACTAACCTCTCGTGAAATATGACACGGAGCGTTATCCTAAAAAACGATAACTTTTTCAGGCGATATTTCTAAAGAAATAAAGTCATTACTGATACGAATTTCCCGTTATTCATGGTGCTTTTGACTGATATTCACCGACAAGGCTGATCATATTTTATCCCTGGATAGATGAATATTCTCGACGGGTAAGAAACTCTCTCCTAATTTGTGAAATAAGTTCTTTTGGGAAACTCTCACCACAAATGACTTTTTTGTGAGGCCCATCGCACATGATACACTCGTCGGCGAAAAAAATTAAAATGGGATTTCTCGTTTTCGCTGGGTTAACTAAAAAAACCAAGATTAATATTCAATGCAATTTCTACGGATTGTGAAAGAATTTCATTTGGTTATTCAATAGAGTTGCTAGAATGAATTATATAGGGGATAAGGTAATGCTTTATAGCAAATAACCGAGCTGGCAACGGTTTGTGAAAATGATTTGGGATGATTCTTCAGTCAGTCCTTTTGGAATATATTGTTTTAGTATACTTAATAAAATTTGCAATTTTCATGTTGAGATTATTTTATCTTGACAACCAAGGGCGCGCACGTTTAATTGATAATCATGGAGCCTAGAACCCACGCAGATCGAGTCAAACAAACCGCAAACATTAATAAAGTTGATAAATATAATAAAACTGAATTTAGTCAGAAAGAAAATGTTTTATTACATCACAATCGGTCACTGCTGTAGACACGTCCAATCTATCCAATTACGGATGAGTTACGGGTGGTTGTTATCTCGGTCAGTACGGTGGTACATGCATAGAGAAATACACGTCTAGAAGGCGCAGATCGGTGAGACAGACAGGTGCATAGAGATGGGTATGCAGACAGTGATGTGCAACAGACAGGCATATATGTGAATGGCGAATTGATCGCATGCATCAATCGGACAGTATAAAATCAAATCAACCAGGACAGTAACGGTCAGATCACTTCAAACGGACAGACGTTTATTAGATCGTGAAAATGACGGACAAGATCTTTGTTCTTTAGACTGAGGAAAAGTACCAGGGAATATGGTATAATCAGTGTGGAAGAAGGTAGGCAATCACATTCGAGGAACAGCAAGCTTTTCAAGTCTGAAGGCGTAGAAAGATAGTCTACAAACCTTAGTGTAGATGTTTTTAAAATGTTTCGACCAAAAAAGGTCGTGATAAGGTAGCCCCGCGGTAGTTAGCAGAGTCTGCCTCGGAAATGATACCGCAATTATTAGCAATTTCTGACTGATTACAGAACATAGTCTGACAAAGGGACACCGTTTCAATGCTAAAAGCATCAATACATTTATCGAAATTAAGCACCAGAGGTCGGGGCCCCGGGCCAGACAATGACTGAAAACGAACAATTCAGCGCATTTCTTAAAATCAGAACCGAACAAAATTTTGAAAAGGAAGACTGGTACTTCGGAGACTCAGATAAACGCACATACGTGTCCCACAGCGAATCACAAATACCGCGATTCGTTTCCAGCTGTGCAGTTAGAATAATGTTAAATCGATCAACCCAGTGACTCACCATTAGGCAGTTGAATGATTTCCATTCTCATAGTGAGCAAGAGATATTTAAATAGCAGACTCGTTTTCTCATACTCAAGGTATTGGGAAGGTTTACGCTTATATTTTATCCTTTGATAAAAAAGATCAAAAAATCTTAATTAACACCTGTTTTGACTCAAATCACGTGGTTTACCTTCCGTTAAACCTGGAGGTTGTGTATTGGAATGCTACTGTGGCCATTTAATACCTTTATTTCTTTCTATCCCCTGATATACGTGGAATGCCCCCCTTACAGTTCTGAAAATCGATTCTACACGTGTATTTTCAAAATCAACAACGACGACAACAACAACAACTACTACTTCTACTACTACTACTGCTGCTACTACTACTACTTTTGCTACTACTACTACGACTACTACTACTACTATTAATACAACGACGACGACGACGACGATGATGATGATGATGATGATGATGATGATGAGCAGAAAAATAACAACAGGTTTGAGTACATCTTATCGGTGGACATACTCGAGCAATAATTACGGCCGTGTTTTTGTTCACCATATCGATTGATTCCTTCTCCATCGGACCACTGTCTCCGATAGTTTTGGGCCGTGTTATAGGGGCGCTAGACTGGACAGCTGAAACTTGCGCTTTCGTGTATGCTTCTTCGGTGGGCTGAGATGGACGATGAATGGATTGTCGCTTTAGCATGGCTTCAAGGTGACTGATCTGGGCCCGTAAGTTTTGCTCCTGTCGAAGCCAGGACTGTTCAGACATACCAACAAATGCGCTGTATGCAAATTCACAGAAAGCAAAGACAAGGCAATAAAGATTATTGTCTAGCAAAGAGCGATTCGAAGAAAAGATAAAATTTCAAATTAGCCAGGGATTGAAGGGCGAATTTTGGACAAACAACATAAAGCATGTTGGGAAAAAACCGATCTAGAACTATGCAATTACTCGTGGTTTAACAATTTTGCTGGTTTCGTATAGCAAATATCAGACGTGTGCTTCTTGGACAACACCGTCAGCCAATCCGATTAGCGGATTCTGTAAAACTTTAAAAACTTAGGGACGTTCGAAAAGTTCACTTTAAATTGACATGTAGAACCCTCGCTTCTGATAATCATCTCGCGGTCACTACGGATTCGGTCTACCGGTAGAGAACCAAGGGAAATTAGCAGGAAACTGAGGGTTTTACCAGGATAGGAAATACTGTGTCCCAGGTCAAGTAGGTAGATAAGCGCGCAGTGAATTAAGCAGTGCATTTATTATACAGGTCACTCGTGTAGCCGGTCCATAGGTTCATAGGCTCAAGTGTCTTACGACGTCTGTTTGCGGTCAAGGTGGGCATTCAAACAGTCAATGAATCAATCAGCGAGGACAAGTCAATACTAACACCTGATTGGCTGGAGCCGATCTGTATACTGTAGTATGGTCAATCCGCATGGTTTGAGTGCGTGCGTGTGTGCTATCTGACAGCATTTGTCAGCCAATCGATCAATCAACCGATCCGGCTTCAGGAAAGTGCGACAGACGTATCAGTCACTCATAAGCCAGGGACAAATCAGATATGATTATACGGCAAAAAGCTGCCCAATCGTCACAGGCTTTTGCCGTGTATTAATGACTTTGTCTCGAACCCTTGCATAGTCAAAGTTCGCAAACGCCTGCCAGTCCAATTTACGGGGACTAAATGACAAAAAGAAGGATTTGTTCAGATAGTTAACTATCTATATTGGACTTCCGGTTTTTCGTGACTGTATAGTGGTGTATTAGACTATCAGTACTGATTTCAAATAATAAACCATCAAATGTGATGTTCATGCACGGGTCTCAGTTCAGTCAATGTGACACTTATGAAGTTTTCAGTTTCAGTTTGTTTTTCAACCATTAATCATGCAATTTCATGCGCCGGTTTTGGTTGATGCCTCGTGGGTTCCCATTTGTGGGAAGGAAAGATTGGAATGTTGAAATCGGTATCACAGTGGGAAGAGAGAATTCATGGAGTCCATAGTTGCACGAATAATGAGTAGATGAGTAAGCACCACGGCTGACGACGCTCAGTCATATCACTCAGTGTCCCTAATCATTGATTACAAGGATCTCGGAGTCCTCATCCAGGAAGTCTAACGTGGCTTATGTGAGTAAGTCTCCTGATTAGAGCTTTCATACTCTAACGCTAACGCGTTATTTGGACCAGTCTTTACTTTTTCTACCCAATACTTGCCCCGACAAACAACACACGCCAAGGAAATCTACTTGGTGACATGCACTGCATACGCCCCTGTTATGGTTTGTACTCGGACTAGTATTTCGTATACGAAATACTAGTCCGAGTACGAACCACAACAACTGGCGTTGCGATCATTTTGGAGTCCTGTAATTTGAAGAACTTGAATATACATGCCAGTGCGCGCGAAGTCCAAGACTATCTTGAACGATTCGAGATTCGGTGTATTACGCGGAAAGGACTCGATGGAGAACACA